ATGTACAATCAAAATTTATAATTTAATATCCCAACATGTGGATGATATACAAAAACAACATAATCTTACCATCTAATGGTTAATGCGTGTGCTTATCATGTCGTTGGACCTGCCACGACCTAGCCTTTCTTGCTAAAGGGGTCTCGGCATGTTTGATCGAGTGCATATCACGATCACAATGACGCCATGTTGAGGAGGGTGAGATCAATAGGATTGTCACATAATTGTGGTTAAACCACTTAAGCATCCCCACTTAGGTTCAGCTCAATGATTCATAGGGCTTCATAAATGCCATTGTCCACTTCATCAAATAGGTTTAGTGACATAGTGAATATGATCAATGCACAATCATCCTTTCTGGGACTATGTTATTTATTGGATTTAATTTTTTTTGAAATAACATCCGATAAACTTTTAAAGACAGAGTTTCAAGAAGCACTCAAAGTATAAGTTTGGATCTATCAAGAGTACAAATGAAGGAAGGTTATTTACAAGAATTTTTATTATATATATTATTCTCGTTTGGGTTATCCGAACTATTTAATTAGGAAATAAGGTTAACATTTTGATCCACAATAAACTCCTTATTAGCCCCAAACTAAGGGATGCACAAATGAGTCCATGAGATCAACATCATATCTGATGAATCGTACTTGTGAGTTGGAAATAGCTTTTGAGATCATTGAGGAACACCTACCTTCTCCCCTCTGAGACCAGGTGGATCTCGTGCACCTTGATGGATCAATCCAAACTCCAGAAATAATTCTGCCCTTAAAATATGATGAGGGGACAAGACTAGAAACACAAGCCATTGACATGACATGATTGACATATTGGATATCAGGGGAGACCAAAAAAAAAGAAGAAAATAAAAGATCCTCCACACAGATTATTCCATGAATGAGTATTAGAAAAAGGAGGGACAAAGTCAGCTTCAACTTTCTCCATCAATGGGAGAGGAGGTTGAATCATGGAGCCAAAGGGGTTGGTGAGTAGGAGCCTTGGAAACTAAGTAAAGAAGTGGGAACCATGTAAAATATTGAGGTGTGTTGGCATATGTCTTCATGGATGCTAGGGTTGGACACAGCATGAAGCCACAAAGTTGTTGAGGACAAAAAGGCAGTAGGTGAGATGGTGAGACCACTTTTTATTCACAAGCAAACAAGCTTTTAGGATATGATTCTTGATTCCAAGTTATCATCACAAGAGAGAGATAGAGAGAAAGAGAAGATTAATCAAATAGCATGATAGAATGGGTAAGGGGAATTGTCCAAGGTTCTAGATGAGTACCTTCCACCCAATTCTAGCTTCAAGAATGGGGGAAGGAGTCACTAAGTCAATGGTTGTGACATGCCAATTGTCCTAAGCTCTTACTTTGCATTGAGACACAAGTGGAATTTGGTGCCTCCTCTTCCTTTCATGTTTGAAATTGATGTTTCCTTGAACTATATATACTCTGACATTTTGATTCTCCCTTGTTATCCACTTACTTACTCTTACAAATGTCTTCTCTTCCATTTGCTACATTATAAGGTAGTAAAGTGAATTTTGATTGATGTTCAGTGTATATTTAAATATCTTAAAATTATGGGGTAATAAATAGAAATGAAAATTGATTTATGTATGTTAATTTTTTAAAGTATAAACGATGAAATATAAGATTTGATCCCAAAACCTTCTCGATATTGTTTTAAAGTATTTACCGATTAAACTAGTTATCGAATGAAGATCCAAACTCTCAACCCTTATCGAGCAAATGTAATACACTATCAGTTCATCAATTTATTTATGTTTAAATTTGTTGCTCAAATAATTCTTTTAGGCGTAAAATTATTGAATAAGATTTTAAACCCTTAACTCTTAATTTATGTGTCAATTTATTCAATACGATTCTATGTCCTCAAATGTTATATATCTATCACGAAAAGATCAATATTTTAGATATAAAAAAATATATATTATAGATGGTCTTAAAATCTTAACCTTTTGGACACATAATAATATTTTTTGGTATAAAAATTTATTAATTTGATTGAACTTGAAGTAATAAAAAAGAATTAAACACATGAGCATAAGTTTTACATACAGCAACTTAGTTTTGTTTCCAGCTTTTAACGGCAAAGAAGCATAGGATCCGAGAAGACTGGAGTTGAACAGTGAGGGAGGCACGCAGCAGAAGAGACAGCCTGCGAAAAGTCTGCTGCATCCGATCGCTGATGTGAGACCAATTGCATGAAACCAAAGCAGCTCTCTTCCCACTGCACCAAGGAAGACCCCTCCCTCCACTTGCCTCTCTGCTGTCTGCTTCCCTTTTATTCCCCTCCTCCTCCTCCTCATCTCTCTCTCTCTCTCTCTCTCTCTCTCTCTCTCTCTATCTCTCTCTCAGGTGATGATGCTGTTGCAGCTTCTACAACATCTTTCGCCATGGATTGCTTCCGCACACTCGCACACGCACCATTTTTTGCATCCTTTGAATCGATACATGTTTGTAAATGACAAGAACATGATCTCTTGGAAGCACGGTGTTAGGGACACACAGGTGATAGGATGTTACTACCCGAGTTGGACGCTTCAGCCGACGACAGCGACAGATGAAAGATGAATCTGACGCTTCTCTTTCTTCTCTCTTCTAACACATCACGAGTTAAGTTGTGCGCTAAGCAACTCGATCGGTGAAGCATATAAAATTACGTCCAAGGCCAAAGACGTGAATGGTTCTCTCTTTTCTATCACTTCTCCTCGGGAGAGAGTTGGAAGCGCCAAAGAGGTCAAGGTGACAAGTGCTGACACGGTGGGATACATCATCGATCAAGCCTTGCTCGGGAATCTCTCCGTCTTAGGAACTCATGACATTTCCAACGGCGCTAGTAGCAGCAGCACCGAGCGTGGTGATGGTGACAAGTTGTCGTCTCCATCACGAGGATCATGGTGAAGAAGATTTCTCGAGGGTAACGATAGCTTGTTTCCGAACCTATTCGTGCAGGTCCCACGATCAGGTCATGGATGGCTCGTTCGACTTAAATATCCGACACAACCGAAGAAATGGTCATCATCCATACGTTTTCATATGAATTATTTAATATAAGCATGATTTGACTATTATTATTATTATTATTATTATTTGAATAATCAACATTTGATATATCAAATCCGATCAACACCCGTCGAACATATCATGTAGATATGACGGCATAGCAAAGAGATGTATATATTCCATCGATTGCTTCTTCTCCTTCCTATCAGTTGTCATTCCAAACCATTAAATAAACATTATCTGATCTGATTGCTAGAAAATAATGCTCTGATGTAAGTTTTACGATAGGAAGATGAATGAACACAAGATCATGCGTACTCAAAAAAATCTCTCTAGTACGATAGTACTCGAAAAATGGATGAAATAGAATCGATTTCACGAAGAAGCTTAGTCGACGATCATCGACAAAATTATGTATGTATATATATCTTTGGAGGAAAACAAATTTACGCAAATAATGGAGGTGTCGACATTGGGGTCCACAAGGGGCGTGATTGGCTCGTGTGAGCCAGGGAAGCGTGGGGACCAACACTTTCCGTGACGAAGCCGGCAAATGGCGTCGTAATCCCCGTGGGCCCCGCTGCCACGCCCGTCCCGTTTCTCCAATGTAGCTATCCGAGTCCGGGCCCACACTGCGCCGTTATCTCGCGTCCTCGACCGCCGTCATCTCCCCGTTTACCGGACGAGGCGAAATAGACGAAAAGTGCCAAAAATAAAAAAGGCCACCCGACGTTAGGCGGCAGTTGGTCGCCATCCCGTCGACACGTGTCGCGTCCGCGGTCGCACGAGGGGGCTCCCCCCAAATCACGGGGAGACTGTCCTCCTCCCGTCACGTGCGACCCTCTATCCGCAGCCGTTCATCTTAATTGATCTAAAATTACACTTACATGTAAGGTTCAAATCATAGATTGCGCTTCGAAATCTAAGAAAGTTGTCGGTCATCTTCGATGCAAATGTGATGCAGGAGATCGCACACGTAGGAGGTGGATTTGAGACAGCTTACTCGTTGACCTTAATTATTGTAGCATGTCAATTATACATGAATATGTGTAGTACTCCACACATCTTCGATCACCGCTCACGAATTTTGATGATTGAAAAGTGGAAGTCGAATACATTGAAGCAAGGAAAAGAAATTGAAATGATAGATATGGGCAATCGAAGGCCTTGTGGCTGGCCATGAGTCGAAGTGGGCATGAGACATCATCCACATCTTGACAGGTACATGGAATCATGCATGTTGCACGAGATTAAGGGGATGAAAGAGATGGTGATGATGATGTTAAGGTAGTGGGTGGTTTGCTAGTGCAATTATGGCCCTCCCTTAGCTGGTTGGCTCTAAATTAGAACACCAACTGGTGAGGCTCACGTGACATCAGCCCCCTAAAAGTGCACCACCAAGGGCTAATGGATCCAAAACCCGCATCCGCAATCTTGTGCTGGGACTAGAGTCGGATGCTAGATATCGGATCCTATCGAAACCGTAGCCGCACCCGCTACGCGTGACCGACAAAATACATGTCCACCATCAACCACATATTTGGGACCACCTCTATCCACCGTTGGATCAAAATCGAACGATCTAAATTGGGAGGATCTTCTGCTTTATGCTGGGCCTCGAATGCCAGAAGTGGAATGACATGAATGCCAATGGTGGCATTGAGCTTTAGTTTAAACCCCCCCCCCCCAACCCTCACCCTCACCCCGACCGAGTCAACCTACAAACCAATGCAGCAAAGGAGACTTATTGGCAGTGTTTTGGTAGTTGTATAGAGAGCTGGTGTGCAGATTCCATAAAAGAAAGGAGTAGGCAGCCACCATAGCAATTCTAATGGAGTGTCAAGGCTGGGTCTTATCATTAGAGTATGAACATGAGGCTCCGTTGGTCATTGGGCATTTAGGTTGGGAGTCGATTTGGAGCATACTAGTATAAGGAGAGGAGAAAGAGGAACAGCGACCTCCATTATTTTCTTTCTTTCTTGCATTATAATACTCCTCCTCTTTCCTTTCGGAAGGCGATTGTAGGGGGAGGAGAGCGGGGAGGGGGGAAGAGATAGAGAGGAGGGAGACAGGGAGAGACAAGGATGGAAGCGCCTTGGAAGAGGTTTTCAACTCAGCTGGAAGATAACGATGTCTTCATGCCCTAAAGCTCATCCACCCTTCGAGACCATCTGTAGTAAGAATCTACACATCCCCAGCAACCATTACGCGAACACACAGAAAAAAATGAGGAAGCACGAAAGAAGAAAAGAAAACGATATTAAAGATTATTATTGCCTGAGTTATTCCGTCTTTTCTTTCGTGTTCTTGGATTTCTTGTTTTGATCGCTCCATGGCCTCCCTATGTGCAGGTAGCTCGACGTGAATCAATTGGACCGCCATGATGATGATGAGGAAAGAGAGGCCAGCATGGGAATAGCGACGCAGCCCTCTCAGCTCACCTTCGCCTACCTCAGTCCACCATCCAAGACCCTCGGGGGAACGCAAGCCGGGCCTAGTTCTCCGGCGTCTATGTCCCAGGGGTTCCACCAAGGCATCTTCAGCTTCCCCGAGGGCTTCGACCGCTCCGCGAACCGAGAACAGCAGCAGAACCACCACGTCGCGCAGCAAAGTAGGAGGGACAAGCTACGGGTGCAAGGCTTTGATGCCGCCGGACACCCGCTAGTCCCGATCGACGAGCACGGCGAGGAGGCAAGCATATACGGGTCCACCGCTGTCGGTGCCGGCAACATGTTGTCGGATATGTTCAGTTTCCCGGCGGCCGGACTGACGGCGGTCGACCTGCACGCTAACCAGATCTCAGGTGGCTTTCATCTACCGCCGAGGCCAGCGGCCACGGCCGGAGGCTTCACCGGGGACTGGTACGGTCCAACCCGACAAGGCAACCAGCAGCAGCATTCGGTGACAGCTTTGAACGCCGACTCTGCTGCCGCGATGCAGCTTTTTCTCATGAACCCTCTGTTGCAGCCGCCGCCGCCACAGCAGCAGCGGCCGAATTCTCCGTCTCCGCCTCCACCAGCTCACCAACAAGCCTTCCAATCCTTTGGAGACGCTCCCTTTGGCGGGAGAGTGGCAGAAGGCCAAGGACTCTCGTTGTCGCTCTCTTCATCCCTGCAACAGTTGGAGATGGCCAAAGCGGACGAGCTAAGGTTTAGAGAAGGGGTGCTGTACTTCAATAACCAGCAGCAACAGCACTCCACGTTACATTTGCAAGGCCAGGTTCCTGGACACGGTCAGCAATCGCACATGGGCTACGGCAGCATGGGACTGGTGAACGTGTTGAGGAACTCCAAGTACGCAAAGCCGGGGCAGGAGCTCCTGGAGGAGTTCTGCAGCGTGGGGAAGGGACAGCTAAAAGGAAGTAAAGCAGGGAGGCACCGTGGTGGCTCATCCAACCCTAACTGCAACCCTACCGGTGGCGGTGGCAGCGGAGGCGCTTCCAGTTCGGCCGCTGCATCTTCATCCTCCAAAGATGTTCCTCCCTTGGCTCCTGCTGACAGATTTGAGCACCAGAGAAAGAAGGCCAAGCTCATCTCCATGCTCGACGAGGCATGTATTAGTCTATATATTTCCGTGCTTTCTTTACTTCACTTAATTACAGGAATCACTCATGTCTCCTCCTTTACATATACATTTCTTTCGGTCCTTAGCAGCCCACTAAAGTGGCCGAGATGATTCTCAGGTCAATTTTGACAAGATTTATTTCTCCTAGTGGTGGTTGTACTTTGCATATATCTATCTATACACAAAGGTGGGGTAGATAACCATTATAGGCATTCTTTCAAGAAGAAGCCACAGCATTTGATTTGGTGAAATAGTTGTCTCTACATGGCTTTACTCCTCTTCTTTGTTTCCTCACCTTGGGGCTCTCACAGATCGTTTGCTCGATGCTCGCTCCAAGAGAATGCTTGTGGCCTCAGCGGCACATCTATTTGCCATTCTTGCGTTCTCTTTGATTACATCATTGTGGCAGCCGTACGATACAGGAAGAGAATAACTCGATTTGGTTGTTTGCCATAGTCCTCACTGTAATAGTAGCTGCCTTAGATCATATCTATGTGAATGAAGAAGGCAATAACCATGAAGGATCCAATGACATTGTACTCTCTGTCATGTAATCTTCGCAGGTGGACAGAAGATACAACCACTACTGCGACCAGATGCAGATGGTGGTGAACTCATTCGACTCCGTCATGGGCTTCGGAGCCGCAACGCCATACACATCGCTCGCTCAGAAGGCCATGTCGCGGCATTTCCGGTGCCTCAAGGATGCAATCGCTGCACAGCTGAAGCAAACATGCGAGCTGCTGGGAGAGAAAGAAAGCGCCACCGGCTCCGGCATCACCAAGGGGGACACCCCGAGGCTCCGGTTGCTCGACCAGACCTTGCGGCAGCAACGGGCCTTCAATCAGATGGGGATGATGGAGCAGGAAGCGTGGAGGCCGCAGCGTGGATTACCGGACCGCTCGGTGCATATCTTGAGGGGATGGCTGTTCGAGCACTTCCTTCACCCGTACGTCTACCTTGTCTCACTCTTCTTTTATCTCGCTGATCTTCCATTCCGTGAGTTGCCATGTCGTTGAAACCTCTCCTTCTTCCTACCGTGTGAGTGGGGGAGACTTTAGGATCATTAATCATAGGGACAAACCATCGTCCTTTACACAACATGAGCTTATCTTCACGAGGAACTCAGCATCATAACCTGGGTTTACTCGTATCAAGAACTCACTCATCCCTGCATTGCCCTTCTGTGCACTGCTTCCACCAGAAAAGCTGCACAAAAGCTTCTCCTTTTGCTCCCCCCTGTCTTTTATTTATTGGGACAACAGAACAATAGCAATCTTGGTAAAGCTCGGTGGCTCATCAAAATTCCCGCAACAGGCTTTGAAATGCCTAGCTTGTTGACGTTGTGTATTATGATTGATTGAAGAACAGGGGTGACCACTGTGGGTTCCGCGAGAGGTGCTGATGTCATTTTCCACTGCCTTCCTTTTGTTTTCAGGTACCCCAGTGATGCAGATAAGCATTTGTTGGCGAGGCAGACCGGTTTGTCTCGAAATCAGGTTTGTCCTTTTCTTCCCCAATGATAAAAGACGCATCAGCTTTTGGAATCCACGAAATTATTATCTCTCTTTAGATTTACCTTGGAATTGTGTCCAGTCACAGATAGAACTGTCAGAGGGAATCCAATAGGAATTACTATAAAGAGACGTACGTACTCCTCGCAGTACACGCAGCCAGTTCGATGGCACTACAATTTGAATTCTTCTTGAGATCTGCATCTCATCATCGACACCATTCCGCCTTTGCACTTCTTTTAGTACCATTAGTTTGAGAATAAAGGACAGCTGAGGAATGTGATAAGGATTGTGCTCTTTCTTGTGCCAGATTATTACGGGTTGCAGTGTTTCTGTAGTCAGTTCAATCATGGTCGTTTCTTTTTAGATACGTTCTCTGATCTCTTGGGACAGGTCAAACCTGTTCGTCTTAGCAGGGGAACACAGTGATCCTTTTTCCTTCGTGCTGTCAACACAATAAAACCAGCTGAATGACTAACGATCTTACATATGTTTCAGGTCTCCAACTGGTTCATTAATGCAAGGGTGAGGCTATGGAAACCCATGGTGGAGGACATGTACCTGCAAGAGTCCAAAGAGGAAGAAGTGGAAAGAGAGAGGAGTGAGTCGGACCATCAAAGAGCACAGTCACCAACGCAGCAGCAGCAGCAAGGACAGCGGACGGAAACCAACGCGCCATCCGAGAGCGACGCCTCTCCCAGCACATCGTCCGTTAGCCGGCGTCATCATCGTCTCGCAGCCGCATCAGAGAACCCACCGCCGGGCTTGGTCGCGGCCCACCAGCCGAGCGGCGGGGACGACGACAGCGTCCTCGTCGGTGTAAACGCATTTGCCGCGCTGAACGCGGCGCATGTTGGCGACATGTATCGGCACGGCACGGCCGGAGACGTGTCTCTCACGCTCGGCCTACGGCATGCCGGTGGCAGCACGTCCGAGAAGAACCGGTTCTCACTGAGGAACTTTGGCGGCTGTTGAGACGAACAAAAACCTGCAAGATGAACAGGAAACAGAAGCTTAGGGAAGAAGGTCTCAATTAAACCACTGCAGCCTTCTTTGATTGGGCATTGCTGAGACAAATATATAGCAAGAACATAGAAATGTATGACACAGAATGGATTGCAGGTTCCTCTTTCGTTCTCTCTTTGCATAACTTAGAACACATATCGATGTTAAGTAGACAACCACAGGAATGCATATTAGCTACATTGCTCTGCCTCCTGTTTCCATCGCTTTCTTTTCCTCGTCTACATGCTTCGTTCCTAACGAAGCAGTTGTTGGAGCGACCAAGGGGAGTGACTGAGTCATTAATGCCAGCAATGGTGGTTGATTGACGTGGGGAAGATGACAAAGGGGAGTGACTGCGTGTGTTAGATGGCATATTGCACCTCTTTTGTGGCCATCCATGGCTTATCTCTTGGACACAAAAAAAATCTTGAACAAAGCAGAATACTTCATCCAATGAGCTATATGCTGATCAAGAACTATTCTTGTAGTGAAGTATCCACGAAATCATTCATGACTAATGGAATAACAAGTTATACGGTGCAATTTAGCGTTGTTAACTAATGATTTTGTTTTCGGTGCTTTTGCGTTTGTGATGATCGTAGTCCTAAGCCGACGCGGAACTCTGACGTACGTGAGGCCCAACCCGATGATGATTGCTCGTCTTCTATGGTGTCGTATCATTGTGCGGCTCATTTATAGATACGATATTATATCATGGCCATAGACCCTATGTAGTCCTTCCACGTGACTGCGGCTCAGCGAGGAGTTGCTCCCCTATCGCTGGTACGGAGGATGCGGAACCAGTTGGAGGAGATGGGGGTCGAAGGGGTGCTGACTTTGGAGTAGGAGATTCACCTGACCGTGTGGTGTTTGTAGAAATGTCGATGTCGACGGCCTAATCAAGCAGCGGGGTTTCCTGTTCTCCCGGCATCAAGGCGGTCCGATGGCTTCTTCGAGAGCTCGGTTCTAATTTGGTAAGGCCCAAAACTTGTGATCAGCTATCCATATCTGAGTGTAATTAATAGCGTAGCACTGGAAACATTGGACCACTAGGATGGCCAGTTCTACCAACCTTTGTTGGAACTGGTTATGGTCTGTAACACACACCTTTGAGCTTGCAAAACATATCAGGAGAACGCCATGGGTCCTCCATTGAAAACTTGGGTCCTCTTGTAACAACTACAGGATGATTGTCCTTTTCTATGATGTTTGCATTTTAGAAGAAGAAAATCGACATTTCCTGGGTATAATTGATTTGTTCTAATGACACAAAGACATGTTAGTCTTTTCTCTAATCGAGGAAAATTAAATGCTGAGATGAATGTGTGAGGTTATCAGAAAAAATAGAGAAAAATATCAAAAGAAATAACATTTAAGATGATACAAACATTGTAATAGGGAGACATATAGATACGATAATCGAAAAAATAAAGATGATTACTACTAATAGTACTAGAAGAAGTGGTAAAGAAAGATCTAAAAAACTCTTTTAAAAGAAATCATAAATAAAAATTTTAAATTTTTTTAATTTAATTAGAATATGACTCTTTACATATCTCAATAACAACAAGAGATCTATATAAATTGGCCCAAAATAATTAAAGATTTTATGATTTTGTTAGTGTTGTTTCAGCTTAAGGAAAGTCCATGACTGCCAAAGTTGAAACATGTCATTCAATCTTAACACATTAGGGTGCATGATATGAATTATTTGCTCTTTGGACACCATTTTATCTAGTAGACTACTTGTAAGTCCAAGTGTGTTTGACAAATTTAGGACACCTATATCTTTCAAGTTGCTTGGATTTATGATTTTTCTAGTTAGACAACTCATTTATCAATTCACTGTGGTGCCAACAGCATGACTTTGTGTACTAAATTGACTCCCTTTGTACCTCAATCATATAAGATCTGTATCTTCACTGGCTCACTATTTCAGACTCCTGCAAAAGCATCCTTTTCAAAGCATCTATTGCTTGTAAACAAGGTGATGAAATTGCTTGAAGGGGGTTCATAAGGTTCTGAAACCAGAAGCCACCTTTGTTTCCATATCTTTGGCACAGGTAATGAGCTCAACCATTATTTCCTTCTTTTGACTCTCTCATATACTTGATGGGATGCAGATATCTGTTTGAACTTGCAGTCACAAGCAATGAACAAGAGATGCACTTACTCAACGTGTAGTAGAAGAACAACTTGTCAAATGATTCCAACTTGCAATGGTTGTCATATGAAGAGTACAAGTTTCTTCTGCTGTGCCATACACAAGTGGGGCTTCCAAAAGCAGAGGTCATAGTGGGAGCGTCCCTCTCGATGGGGGAAGAGTGGGCGTGTCGTGCCAACTTAGTCTCCTATTCCCCTCCGCAAGTGCTTGTGAAGATGCCAGGACCATCATAGAGTTCTTTAAGCAATGGATTCTGTGACAAATGATACATCCAATCAGCGTGGAGGCCAACAGGGCATCTTTGCTCCTTTTTGGTGGGAAAGATCCTCAGCAGCATGAAGAAGCTTCACTGAAGCATGTCAAGCCACTTTACGCTTCAACTTTGCTGGCTTTCTAGTTTGTAAAGGCCGTAAAATGTTATCTTGGCGGAAATCTTTCGTCTTTGATGTCAGAAACATGTAGCCGAGTGCCCAAATGTCGACGCTAAGAAGCTTCATCGAGGCATCCTTTGTTCGCTTTCAAGGATTCTTTGGCAAAGCCATTAAATCTCTCGATGTCAATCCATGAATGTGATGCTACAATTACCCAATAGAAGTTTCATCTGTATCGGAACAGAAGGTGTTAAGACGCAGAAACAGTGTCTGCCACTCAGAGAATCACATGACTTGGTGAGCTTCTACAGCAGCAAACACCTATTCCCATGAGAAGCTGAACTTTGTTTCGCGAGTTTGGGAAGAGACGTACTAAATTATTGGCTGTGGCATTAGGCCTTGGCTGCATTTAGCAACTGAGCTTTCCCAGACTGACATACTGCAATGCCACGTTAACAACTCGAGCATATGTTTGTGTTCTTTGCGAAGAAGATACTGGTTGTGTTTTCTTACACCTTAGAAATTAGCAAGTTACTATTGATTTGTTAGAAGATCTCATGGTCAAATGCTCATTTCTGGCTTCTAGTGCTAGTGGTCTACATTTCAGCTTACAGTTCAAATCTGCTGGATGCAGGCTTTGCACAGGGAATAAGAGGTCTCTAAGCAGTGAGAAGTCTGATCGAATTGTTTCGTAGCTCAAATGGGTAATCTCTTCTTATGGAGCTTGCCAGTCCTCTGTTCCTCCAATGAACTCATTTAGCTGCTTGCTGAGATATAACTCCGAATGCAGGAAGTGGAATGCCAAAGTTTCCTGTGGAAGAAATGGACACCACTCGAGAAGTCTCTACAAGGCATAAGCGGTCTAAGAGGTAGTTGATGTATTATTCCAACTTCACCTATTTCTTGCTTCTCTTCCTCTTTGATAGAATTGTATGTGAATGTAATTTGGAGTCTCCTCAGCTTACAGAATCCTATTTTTCCTTCAGTATAAAGAAGAGAAAACTTGTAGTATCTTATAAACGTGTGAACTCGATATTATTACAACCTACGTAAGATCTTTTTTGCACTGCAGAATTTTCGTTGACATCATTCCTCTGTAATGACAGTGACTCTGATAAGAGAATCAAGACTGGTAAGCTGGATACATCAGTAATATCATTTCATCATGTTAGGATGGTAAGCCTTCTTTTCCTTTCTTTGTTTCTGATCATAAATCCAAACTGCATAGCAGTAGTCTTATTCATTATTGGCCACCAATATGTGAATTTTCAGTCGAATCGATTTCTTCAATTTTTCATGTTATACAGGAAAAGTTTAGTTTGTAGTCAATAAAATGCCTTTCTTGGAAATTATTCCTTTTCTTTTGTTTTGACAGAGCCAAAAATGTGAAGTACTAATTCTAGATTTGATATGGTTGCAAGGACAAGGAAGAAGTCGGCCAAGCTGAAGTCAAGAAGAGGCCATCACCTAACAATGTCATGGAAAGCTCTTTAAAGAAAGAGGTAATATTACCTTAAAATTAGGTAGATAAGTAACTGTGTGAGTGATCTTGATTGAAATAAGTAGCAGAAACTACATGAAAAATATTCACCCCCAATTCTGTAGCGGCACAACCCGGATATGGATGTGTTTTCTTGCCATTTTCTATATGCACAGGTTCTTTGCACATTTAATGTCTTCTCATCTGCTCGATGCAGATTCAACAACTTGAGAAATGCCTCGAGGATCAGTTTGTTGTACGTCGTGCACTAGAACAAGCATTGCAGCACAAGAGCTCTGCCATTGATACATCAGCTGATACTTTTATTCCCAAAGTAAGTTCTTCGACACATCAATCTCATATTCTTTTACCTGGCTTGGATTTGAATTAACTGGTTGTACTTGTTGTGATATCAGTCAACCAAGGAAGTAATAAGGGAGATTGCTATGTTGGAGTTAGAGGTTGTGCATTTGGAACAATACCTTCTATCCCTCTACAGGAGAGCTTTCGAGCAACAAATGTCCGGTGCATCACATACTGCAGTTGAAGGTGCAACACATGCTGCCTCATTCCAAAAGTTCAGATCAGCAGTTCGGTCGAATCACATCTTGCTTCCACAAAAGATGGCAAATTGTCGAGAGAAGCGTGGTTGTCTTCTTCACCGCAGCCATTCCTCGGTAATGCCACCTTCATCAAAGTATCCAACTCGAGCTCTCAAGGCATGCCATGCTTTATCTTTCCTTGAAGTATGCATCTAATCCTACATATTTCTTTCCTTTTCCTTGAAAGAGAAGCTTTTGCATGTCTTGATAATTTTGAGGTTTCTTCTCAGCATGAACAGCAGTTCAATTCGGGGGTCATTAGCTTAGCAGATCATCTTGGAACCACTGTCGCTGATCATGTTCCTGAGACACCGAACAGACTCTCCGAAGACATGATCAGGTCCATGTGTGCCATCTACCGCAAACTGACAGACCACCACGTTGGCCATTGTGGTGTTGCATCCTCTCCGACTTCATCCTTCTCATCTAGGAATACATTTTCTCCCTGTTATACCGGAGAACTGCAGAGTCCTTGCCGCAAAAGGGAATCCATGGTTGATACATGGATAGAAAATTCTTGCTGTACCAAAAGATTCCGGGAGTTCAGTGGACCTTACAGTGTGATGGTGGAAGTGTCTTCTATCTGCAAATCCAGTCAAACGTCTACCGATGTTGAAGAGATGCTACATAACTACAAGTGAGTCACTGCATAGCTACAAGAAATCATTTGCAATTCTCACACTTGGAACTCTCTCTGCTCTGTCGATTAGCTAGTTAACTGTGAAGAACATACATGCATTTACTCTCAAATTATATTGCTGAATCGGTTAGTTCTCTTTCAGAACGCTTGTCCATCGACTTGAAACAGTTGATCCAAGGATGATGAGCAACGAGGAAAAGATTGCTTTCTGGATTAACATACACAATGCTATGTTAATGCATGTAAGCTATTTTTCCTCTGTTTTCTTCATAGCCTTCTTCCTTTTCTTGTTCGTATTATCTCCTTTATTGATTTGTACAGGCACATCTAGAATATGGGATTCCAGGAAGCAACATAAAGAAGGTATCATTTCTCATCAAGGTAATCTCCTTCATAATGAATCTAAAAGATGGTTTTATGGAAGTAGAGATCCTTAGTAGTTGTTCTGATCGTGATGTTCTTTATTCCTTTCAGAACATGTACAATATAGGTGGTCGTATGGTGAATGCGTACATAATACAAAGCTCAATACTTGGCTGTCGTATGCATCCTCCAGGACAGGTACGTTCTATGTGCTTCATACTGGATAGTCTTCTCAAGACACTCGTCTCTCTACTGATCCTAACAGTAGACAAAGCAAGCTTAAAGGCGCATCAAATGCAATATATGAATCAACAAGCTGAAGCTTTCCTGTTCATGGAGTTGTAGTGGCTACGGCTAATAATCTCCTCAAAGGTGAAGGTCAAGGATGGTGATGAGTGGAAAGGCTACGCCATTGAGAACCCTCAACCTCTACTACGTTTCGCACTTTGTGCAGGAAGCCATTCAGATCCTGCCGTAAGCTTCAGCGCATCCTACATCTGCAAAGATCTGAAGTCTTGAAGTAAAATTCGTCTTTTGATATCATATCTGCTGCTTCTTTTCTGCTTCAGGTTCGAGTGTACAGTCCCAAGAGACTGTCCCAACTGCTGGAAGCTGCAAAGATGGAGTACATCCATGCTACTGTAACTATTAGGAGGGGACAGAAGATTCTTCTGCCAAAGATTGTGGATTCCTTTGCAAAGGACTCCAAGTTTTCTGACCGAGAATTAGTGGACATGATCGAGTGCTGTGTTCCTGAGAGTTTGAGGTTGATGGTCGATGGATGCCGTGGGAGTAGCTCTCGAAAGATGATCGAGTGGGTGCCTCACAACTTCACTTTCAGATACTTGTTATCAAGAGAACTCGGAAATCCAAGATTAAACTGATCCCATGTATCACGTTGATCAATATATCGACACCAAATGATCAATATATTGGCATCTGATTGTCACGGAATTAGTTGATTTTGTCTAAGTCATATGACACTTTTGTATGTCTATATACAAAGGATAAATCTTCTCAAAATCTCTTATGGTCATTTAAAGACCTCCATAAAAAAAAAACGATATAAGAGAAACATTTAACTTAGGATCGCACATGTAGTCAAACACTTGTTAGACAATATAAATTATAAACATAGATATTTTAACTTTAAACGATCGAGTCACAAAGAATCCAAGATAGTCCATCATAATAAAAAATCCTCATAAATGCCCACATGACACTACTATAGAATAAAGTAGCGAACCAACTTTAGGCATTATCCCATGCCGTATAACATACTAGAATAGTATATAATATGCCGAATGCTTCATAAATATGCCGTATGAGTGGTTGATTTGTCAAAGTCTTGATCAAGATCATTATGGGTTAATTTAAGTTGATATTTGGGTCGAAACAATGCTAATTTGTCAAAAAAATCATTGAGTTTAAACCCGAATTGAGTTAGACCCATTAGAAGGTCAAATTGGTAGCCTAAATTAGGTTTGGGCTATAGTACCATTAGGCCCAAGTGGTAGTATCGCATGTGTCAATCGACAAATATTGTTCGTGATTTATCAATCTTTTTGGCAATGGTATTATTTATGTCGATGATAGTACCACCTAGGTAGATGGTAGTACTGCTAGAGTCTAGATTTATAGTGTAGTTGCAGCAATAGTTTCATTTAATGCCAGCAATAGTATCGCCCTTATTATAAAATTTTAGGGATTTAAATTTTAGATTTTATTCTTGAAGATTTTTGGAGCCTATCAATATCCTACTCAAGCTTGGTTAATGGAGCATCCATTTATGAGATAGTAAAGTATTGTAAACTCTTATTTTGAATATAGTTTGCGTCTCCTTCTATTCTTGAGTTTGGTTGAAATTCTAGGTCGTAGAAGGTGAGAGAACTCTTGTAAAATAAGAGTACGAAGGTTATTTCTTAAAAAATAAAAAAATTATAATAATAGTAGTTGATTTTCAAAGAAGATTGATAGTAAAAGTGGATAACCTTAAGGAAAGAAGAATCGAGAGTGAATAAATGACTGTGAATTGATTTACCAATATTTATTTGTTATTTATTTATGGCTTAGTTTTATTCTAATTTTAACTTAATTAATTGAGTTTTAAAAATATATTGATTTATCGATCAAATTATAAAATTAATTAAAAATACTATTATATTAATTTATCCCTTTTTAGTGCAATTAATATCTTTTGGTTCTAAGTTGTTCCCCAAGTGTTCGACATATATAATGTGACCTCGCTAATCTTCCATGTGCATTCCATCACTACTGCGGTGGATTGCAACTATTGCCAAAGACATGTATAACATTTTTCTCACGACCAACATCCAACATTAAGAGGCAAATAATCAATCATATAAAGTTTGCCACCACGAAATGTTGCGACTTCGATGCTTGTCACGTAATCGGATGACATTGTAATCGTATTCCACATGCGACCAATATGCATTAGCGATAAAATCGATTCTCTCATGCACATAAGATTTTGTTGACTTGCTAAATCATATATGTAATCTTGTGTTGGATTCTGTCTCCTCATTCTGCATGATCAACAGATATCAGTGTTTTCATCTCAATCATCGAGCATCAATCACTCATGGATTTGATTAGACCACGCAATTTGTTGGGTTCTCGGTAATTTCCCTTGTCAGACCACATCTAATTGGATTTGTGGTCACCGAATTAAAGTCAATCATTTCCCATATGTGCATGAGGTTGGTCTTAATTAATTCCATTAGCACGGGAGATGAGCCCTGCAATTGATTGCCAGCCATTTCGGAGCCGATGACAAACCCAGACTTCTTCTTCGGTGAATGAACGAGCCCGACAAGTATTCGATGCGGACCCCACATTGACATTGAATGTACAGCTAGGCAAGAAAGCGAAATATTCTAACCTTATGTACGTGAAGAGTAGTAGCCGAAAAGGACATGTAATGGCTGTGTATCTCCTGTTGCGATTTACAGATTGAACATGGCGTCGACCGGTGTCTTCGACTCTCCTCGGTGCCCTTCCCTTCGTGGCTCACGGTTGAAGAGCTTATGATCAATGCGGAGTCAAGAAGCGGCACCGCACTCTTCCCTACTCCGGAATGCCACCCAACTCGGACTTGAAATCCCGTCCCTTGCCACCTCGTCTCTTGGAGCTGGGCCCTCTCCTCCTCCGCTGTGCCGGCGCCACCGCCGACCTTATACCGTCGGCGGAAGCTTCGGGGAAGACTAGGCGTCCGACAGGTCCTCCGCGGCAGTGGTAGCCATCGGAGTCCATGATAGCCGCGCTGGCCTTCACGGCGAGCGCGGCCATCTCCTCCGCGTGGAGCGGCCGCCGCAGCATGGAGACGGGGAGGAGGAAGTAGAGCTGCCCGGGCTGCAGCTCGTCGTCGGCATTGACGGGCGAGACGAAGTCGTCGAACCCCATGTCGTCGGCGCTGCAGACGAAGCAGTTCGGGTCCTTCTGGAGCACGTGGGACGCCTTCACGGGCCGCGCGAACTCCTGCAGCTTCCCGTCCTGCAACACCAGCTTGGCGGTCGCGGTGGCCGCCACAACCGTCGTCGCGTCGCACGAGCTGCAGATCCCCATGGCAGTGGCTTCCGAGTGTCCACAGTGCAATAAGCGGGCCAGAGCCTTGTTCTGGTGTCAGGCTTTGTGAGGGAGGAGGAGGAGGAGGAAGGCCATCATATATAGAGATAGGGAGATGCACGCAACGCTTCCATCAACTTTTCGTCTTAAGCGAGGAGGATGCCAACCAGGATAACGTGAAGAACAGGCTGTGTGTGGGACAGAGGGAAGAAGATGAAGGGGGGATTTAAGTATTAGATATCATAGTAATTAAGGGAGCAGAGATCACGATGCACGACAATGATCCATGCATGCATGGCTGTAGTTTGGTTGGATAGACCGACAGATTTGACCTCAGATTAGTCTCATTTATGGGGTAAACATGTTCTGATTCAAGCCTCAGTTAATTGCGAGTCCACGAGGAGATGAAGTCTGTAAGGTAAACTGATGGCAGAAGATTATGTGCAGGTGATGAACTAAATCTAATCAAATCAGCGTAGCTAAACACAACTCTTTAGATCCCAAAAAAAGCTGTCGGGAAGCTACCCACGTAGATTCCAAGCCCCAATAATTGGCCGGGAATGTTGCATGAAAGCCATGGCGTCCCTCCAGCCATATCCAACCTCAACAGTATCGGACAAACTGCAGGTGGACTTTCACGTCACTCTTGCAGAGGACTGAGAAACCTTCAAGTTCAATCTTATCCGAGAGCAACCCTACAGCTACCAAGTCCCTCACAAGGTGGAGATGGAGGGGCAAGCTCGGAATCCCACACATCATGGCCGAGCGATGCAGCGATTGGATCCGACAGCAACTCCTTCGCTTATCTGGAATGTGGGGTTGGAGCCATGAAGACCGATGCGTCGAAGCATTATATATCCATCCCCTGTTCTTCCCTGCCTTCTTCTCGCGATCATTGCGGTATGGTTTTCCGCCGGAGCCATCCCTCGAAGCTTCCTCCAGGACATGCACCTCCAACAGATGCAGATCAGGTATGGGATTCACGTGTCACCTGTAAATTATTGGAGGTCTCCTGCCAGATTCGGATGCACTCGCTCAGCAAGTTAGGTGAAGCATCCATGTCTCTAATCCCACTTTGAATGGACCAATGGTAATCAAGACTACCATTTTCCTCCTTCCACCTAATACAGAGTTCTTTAATCCTCAGAATGGTTCTGGTCAGCAATGTCAGAGACACGTATAATGGTTTAGGTTTTGATGAGTGGATCCATGCCTAGTGTAGCAGATTAAATTGTTCGAGCTATAAATCCACCGATTAGGAAACAGATGCGGCACCAGACTGATAATGTTGGCCAGGATCATCTTCTTTGCAGCGGTCTCAGCAGCGACCTTAGCTGTTATCCTCCTGCCATTGCTCTCGCCTGTGCCGAGGAAATCAGAGAAGAGGCAAACAGGGCCACGGCTGGCCCTCTCCCTCTACGTTCATCCCCCCGGCCCCGGCCGTCCCCATCAGCAGGCAGGCCTGCATGGGCACAGCGCTTTCGTCTTCCGTCACGACCTCAGGGAGGGACCAGAGAACACGTCCCGGGTCATCGGCGGGGCGCGGGGCATCGTGCTACTTCCCGGTCGACAGCTTGAGCTATCCGCGTTCAATATCGTGCACCTCGCCCTCGACACGGCGGCGTATTCGGGGAGCCTCAGCGTGGAGGCGAGGCAGGTGGGGCGCAGGGGGAGGGAGGAGCTCGCGGTGGTGGGAGGAACCGGGTCCTTCGCCTTTGCCCGAGGCCATGCGGCATTTACCGTGACCAGGGAGAGGCGGCGATCGGATGCCGACGCCATCTACCGCTTGGATCTGCGGCTGATGCTCCCTGAGGAGTCTCCCACCATTCCTGGATGACGAAAGGGATGATGAAGCGGCCATGTTCATCAGAGTTTGCTTGCATACAGAGACGGACTCTAATTCTCCTTCTGCATCAGTTTTGTAGGCTCGCTAATTGTTCCTGCAATAGAACAACTACGATAAGATTTGTATTCTGGAATCAAAGGGAGGTTGATCTCAAAGTTGAGATGTACGTCCTCTATGATACAATAACTGAGGATCGATATGTTTCTTCCTTCGTGACATATCGATCAATTTCATGCAGCTATTTATTAGAATGTATATGGAATTATGCATCGATGCTAAATCTTTTGCAATTTAGTAAATACAAGGAAGCTTTCACATATTCCCTTTTGGAGAATCTTGGAATTATGTGTACATCTTTGATTTCTTGGACACATGCCATTGTCAACTCTCTAAGTCCGTCCAATATGTACTAAGCAAATATATGTAATGAAAAGAAGGGTTGACTCATGAGTTGACTCATCCAATGAATCGACTCATTCGAGTCTACCCGAGTTTACCTGATAGAATCAATGGGTTGATCCAAAAAGACAAGGCTAATTACATATTAATGAAAGTAAATATATGTAATGAAAAAAAGGGTTAACTCATCAGTTGGCTCGGCACAATGAATTGACTGGTTTTGAGTCTACTCGAGTTTACCTAATAGAACCAATGAGTTGATCTAAAATGACAAGGCTAATTACATATTACTGGAAGCAAATATATATAATGAAAAGAAGGGTTGACTCACCAATTGACTCGGCACAATGAATCGATTCGTTCTGACTCTACTCGAGTTTACCTCATGGAATCAATAGGTTGATCCAAAGAGACAAGGCTAATTACATATTACCGGATGCTGAGCGACGGAGTGCTCTGCGGGCTCTGTCACATAGCAACGTTTATGACATAAAGTCATTGGTGTCGGTCTTGGAATCATCAAGACCTTGTAATTGGCTCCGTCACCCGCTCTCTAGAACCCTCAATAGTGTCTTCGCCTTGCTTTTCCCCGTACTCATCCCGTTGTCATCGTCAGTTAGAGCCCTCATAGTTGCCTCCGCTCTATCCACCTCCCTAACGTCCTTCATCTCCTTGTCTCTATTGCTCTTTACTAAGTTTAGCAGTGCAGTTGTAATGTTTTTTCTCGCCCTCTAGCTCCCCCCAACTACTAGATCCACTATGATGCTGATGTCGTCCATCCTCCATAATGCCTCTATACTCTTTGTTGCATCCTACTAGTTAGACGATCATCATTGTCGTGTCTTCCACCATCTCCTTCCCCCCATCTTTCACCGCTAGTGCAAAGAGGGGCAACATATGCCCAACTCAATAAGGGTGGTGCGGTTGTGCGAGTAGAGGGCTAAGCAGAACAGGGCCTCGAGTGCATCCTTCATGAACCTAATCGACACATTGGGGATGCTGAGGAGGTCCATAAGGGTGACGATGAGGGACTTGACGATGAGGGACTTCTTTGACCTGATGATGGAGCGGTACACTTTGACATAGAGGAGGCTATAAAATGTTATGATAGCATACTGAGTAGCATTATGGGAGAGGAGGTGGAGGCAGTGGCAAGGGCATCGAGGATGCGCAGGGTGCACACGAGCGCCCCGTGGTGTGGAGATAGAAAGATTGAGGAGGGCAACAACGGTATTCTCCTAGGCCTCGATCGCGGACTGAGTGGTGGTAGTGATGGTCGTGGAGACGAGCGGCAAGGAGGGACATGGCATCAGCGTCAGCGTTGACGAGGGGGGCACGCATCTTTCGGTCTTGCTTCGATAAGCGATGGATCTCCACGATAACATCGATAGCCAACTTCGATTTCGTGGCGACGAAGCACCAACGCATATATAGAGAAGCAAAAGGGTCGCCTAGCAACTGCATCGGTGTCAATGCCAATGGTGTCGCTGTCCGCCATTGTCAATTGGAATATTAAAATTACTTTTTTATTATTTATTTTCGTATTTCCATTAATAAAATTAATATCGACCTAGATGTTTTAATTTAATAACTAGGATATAAATATAACTTTTTAAAATGTAGGGATCGGGATAAAGGGTAGGTAACTACGGAGCTAATCTATAATTCGCATAGTGGGCAAATATATATAATGAAAGAAGGGTTGACTCGTGAGTTGACTCGGCACAATGGATCAACTCGTCCGAGGCTACTCGAGTTTACCGAATCGACTCAATGGGTTGATCGACAAGGACACGAGAAAGATAAGTGGAGGCGATGCGCACACGAAGCTTAGGGGACGAGCGACGAGCGCGAGCCCTAAATATTTTTGGCTGTCGTCGCTGCCCGCATCGCCGGCCGGACTACCTTTCCCTGCCGTTGTCGCAAGCCATGCCGCCTCCTCTTGTTGGTATTGTTCTCTCTTCTCCTCCCGTCTCCTTCACTCTCTCGTCTCTTCTCCTCCACTCGCCTCCCTCTCCTGTGCTCTTCACTCTTCCGCTGTCCTGCTTTATCCGCTCGTTCCCTCTCATGTGATCTTCTCTCTTCCTCTGTTCTGTTTTGACCTCTCCTCCCTTCTCTTATTTCTCATGTATCCATATTTATTTGCGGAGAAAAAAATTATAATTATACATGATGAACTTAGACAATTCTCCTCTGCATTCAAATGTTCCAATCTCGCGGAACCATGAAGCCTTCCCTCAGTTGCATTGTGTTTTGATTCACAAGCTTAGAAAACTTCTGTTCTCTGCGTAAATAAGTTCTTTTTAGTGTTTTCTGTTTTTTTAATGCCTGAACATTAAATGATTTTGGCCTTAGGAACAGTAAGAACCATCCAATTTATGCGTGCATGACATGTTCTTGTATTATAATTTCTTTATCGTTCGATTATCTTTGTCATAATGTCAATCTGGTAATGAAAATCATCATCTATTCTCCTTTTGTGTGCTTGAAACCAATAATGCTTATATTCAATTTGCAGCAAAAGGGATGGGGGAGGTTCTTCCTTTGGGGGCTAGCTTTTGGTATTCAATCAAATCTGGGCAACTGAAAATGTAGGTCTACTTATCATTAATAAGTTTGATTTGTATGTTTCTAGAGATATGATACTTTGAGCACCACATACTTTTTACTGTTTCCTACATGGCTTCACATTCTAAATTGCCCAACATATCATACTTTGCATGATCTAAATTACCTAATAACTCATATTTTACATGCTTTTCCTAAATTTTCTACCTCTTTTTGCATTTATTTTTCCATGAGTCAGGTATTTGGAAAGATTTTATTTTTTTTGCCTGAAATGAACATCCTCACAAGAATAGTTGTGATGGTTTTTATGTTTTAGTGATGTTATGGACCCTAATGCAGTTGTTTGTGATCATTTTTGGTTAGCGAGGGCAAAATTTACTCAAATCAAGGAACTTAGTTTCGCTCGGACCAGACCATGCCGACTAGTATCTAGCGATCTCCCCATTTTGGGTGGTCCAGTCCTGTTTTTCTTTTTTAGGTGGCAGCTCATTCTTTTATTTGTTCATATATTAAAGACATCATTGCTGCATTTTATGGCTCACAGGTGACCCTAGCCCCACTCTGGCCTTCGTCACCCTCTCTGTTATGCTTTCCATTGCTCTCTCTGTTCCTCTTGTCTCATTTCAGATACTTCTCTTCTTCTCCTTATCTTCCTCCTCTGCCTCCTATTCCTCCACCGTATCCCCTTGCTTCCTCCCCCAGCAGAATGGTACCACAGTATATGCTAGACTATTGTGTGTCCATACACAGGTATGGACTGGAACCATACTGGTCTGACCATAGATCCTTATGGATCCGGTACCTAAAATTGCATTTCGTGATTTGAATATCAGCCTGACCAAACTGATATGAGTCGGGTACCTGAAATTGCACTCCTTGATTCAAATATCAGTCAATGGCCAGGGGGAGCAGAACAATTTTGGGTAAAGCATGTTGATCTCTAGTTATATTGTTGTAGCAAGTGAAGATAAATTTACCAAACACTCCATAGATGTTTCTTTCATTTCCATTCTATTTTAATTCATATTAAACACTTTGATTATTAATGTCTTTCATCCATATGACAATTGAGATCTGTACATTATTCCAAAAAACTATCAACTTTGCTTTAAATTATGTAGTTTTTCTGTAATTGTTCTTATTGTCATGATTAATAAATTCATAGGTTATCACTCTCATATTAGCTGATGTTGTGGTTGTAATATTTAGCAATATGAAACTTGTTCAGAATTGGAACGCAGAACTTTTTCTTTCATTTCCATTCTATTTTAATTCATATTAAACACTTTGATTATTAATGTCTTTCATCCATATGACAATTGAGATCTGTACATTATTCCAAAAAACTATCAACTTTGCTTTAAATTATGTAGTTTTTCTGTAATTGTTCTTATTGTCATGATTAATAAATTCATAGGTTATCACTCTCATATTAGCTGATGTTGTGGTTGTAATACTTAGCAATATGAAACTTGTTCAGAATTGGAACGCAGAACTTTTGTCAAGTGCATCACTGTGCCATGGTTGTCAGAAGCAATCATCCTCAAAATGCTGATCTTCCTCGCTACTACTCAAAAAGGGAGAAGAAACCATTTCCAATCCCCATACTGGAATTAAGGCGTACGGCAAGAGAGAGGCTTAAGAATGCCAAGAAATTGCCTAGGAAGCCAACACCGCCACCTAGAAATGGAATGCTGGTTCAAAGCTTAATACCAGTTGCATATGAAGTGATGAATGCAAGGATCTTGCTGACAAATAATCTGAAAAGGCTTATGAAAGTAATACCGGTTCTAGCATGCAAGTAAGTTTCTTTAGAGCTTTTTCTTTATTCTTATCTGATGTCCATTTAAATTGCAGTATTGCATTGTTACTTGGACTGGACATTTTGCCTGATGTTTGGTTTACTGTTCTGCAAGGATTATGAATTTCTTGTTCCACATGAATCTTAAGATTCACTTGATCTGCAGTGAGCAGGCATTTATAGATCATGAATGAACAATGTTAAATTAGCACCATTGTTTAGTTATGTATCTTGTTAATCACCTAAAACATATTTTTATGGGGCTGGGGATCACTCACGAAAATTGTTGCAGGTATTGCAATGAGATACATGTGGGAGCAACTGGGCATCCCTTCAAAACATGTCGAGGCTTGCGGGCTGATCACCGCAAGGGCCTTCATGAGTGGATAACTGCAACAGTAGAAGATGTACTCACACCCATTGAGACCTTTCATCTCTCAGATCGCCTTGGGAAGCGCATATCTCATGAGGAGAGGTTCTCCATTCCTCGTATCCCAGCCGTAGTAGAGCTCTGTGTCCAGGCTGGTGTTGATCTGCCAGACTTTCCCATCAAAAGACGAAGGAAGCCAGTCATTCGCCTGGGAAGGAGTGAGATCATTGATGCTGATGAGGATGACTTGCCTGACCCCAGACCCTGTAAATTTAAGAAGCCCATTCTGGATGAAGTACCTGACTGTGAGATTGTGCCACCAGCGAATGCTGAGGAGACTGCTTCCCTATCCGAGGCAACACTTGAAGCATGGGAGACCTTGCGGCAGGGTGCTGCAAAGCTTATGAGGAAATATCCAGTAAGAGTCTGTGGATACTGCCCAGAGGTGCATGTTGGACCTAGCGGGCATAAGGCTCAGAATTGCGGGGCATACAAGCACCAGCAACGCAATGGACAGCACGGATGGCAATCCGCAACGCTTGATGACTTGATACCACCCAGGTATGTTTGGCATGTCCCTGAGACGGTCCTGGAGCTGCAACGGGATCTGAGGAATTTCTATGGGCAAGCACCAGCTGTTGTCGAGCTGTGTGTTCAGGGTGGTGCGGCAGTGCCCGAATGCTATAAACCTACCATGAGACTAGATATTGGCATACCTACCAACTTGAGAGAAGCTGAGATGGTGGTATAATGTAGTTTGTACTTTGTATTGTAGATGCAAAATGAGCTGAAATTTCAACAACCCAGTAATGGGCAAGCAATTGGAATCATGAGATGGTGGTATAATGTAGTTTGTACTGTAGATGCAAAATGAACTGAAATTTCAACAACTCAGGAATGGGCAAGCAATTGGAATTCTGTAATATCTTGTTTCAACGTCTACCTAGTTTCTCGGCAATTGTGGCACTCCACAAGTCTTGTGATGCTAAATTTTGAGATGATGTATACTGCAACTTGCTCTTGAGCATTTCCAGGGTAAGATGTATAGTGGTGTTGAATGGTGCATGACTTGGGGCAATTCTTGCACGGTTAAGAATTCTCATGGGGATCCATGCTCAGTGGAGCTCAGGGCATTGCAGGGACCTCCACATTCTTCTCTTTGGTTTACCATTTTGCATGTTGAAATCAAGTTCATGTCAAGATTTGGATTTTACTGATCAGCTTAATGTTTTGTCGGCCGACCAACTTTCTGCAGCTCGTTTACGGGTGTGGCCCCGAGTGAGTTCATAGTTGGTCCTGATGAGCTGGCATTTTTGTTTCTAGAATTGAATGCTATCTATCACCCAATATGAAGGGGTTTTGATCACTGTTAGTCCATGTAAGTGTTGACCCTTCTGGCCATCAAAATACAACAAAACTCATGTAGTGGCAGTAGTTGGCAGATGTCAGAATGGCACCACTGCATCAGACGCGATCTGCTGTTTGCATCAACACTTTGAAATCTTAAGATCAAGGAAGAAGACGACCCTGACCCTCTGCGGCTTCAAATGGATCTATGCCTCGACTCTCCTCCTTGAACTCAAATGCGTGCAAGCTGTCCACCAGCAGCTTGGGTGACAACGACAAGACGAATGCTGCATGCCTAATGAAGGATCGTAATAGTTGCATTTAATTTTATAATTATTTTTTATGATTTATCTCATCTTTCGTACAAATATATCGATCGGATATTGACATATGATACGGTGTGATATATTAATAAATCGATATATATTATCCGTATTAATTTTTTATTAGATTGATACACACCGTCCGTTTCAGATAGTACATTATAGATAAATCTTAATTTTTTCTTTTAATTTTGACTAACAATTAGGATCAAATCAATATGTCAGTAAAGTTGGATCGATCGTTTTTTAGGGTAATATATGAAAAATTAAACATTCTACTGTACAAATATCAAAAATGAGAATTCCCTTTTACTTTTACCCTATGCTGCAGGGAAATTACTAGCTCGAAAAATATTTTGATGATTATATATTTTTAGATTTTTTAATTTTTTTCTTGTATAGTGCTCTTGTTTTTTATAATCCTAAAAATATATTTCCTTCCCACCGTAACTCTCTCACAACATTCGAGTGATTATTATCGTTATCTATAGTAAAACAATCTATTATCTGTGCTTACATTACTCACAAAGACCCGAGAAATGAGGAGTGAGAGATGCAATGAGAAAGAATGAACCTTGAGACAATGGACGAGCGATGCCGACGAAGCGAAGGCAACAGGGAAAAAAAAAAAGAGTATTTTCGAAATTATAAAAATAAAAGATGTTCTCTAAGAAAAATAAAAATAAAAATAAAAATAATTGCATAAAAGGGGGATTTTTTTAAAAAGAAAATCACAGATAAAAATATTTTTCTGTTTAAAATATTTATATTAAATCTGGGCGTAAAGACCGCCAAATGTAGTTGACGCATCTGCAGCTCCATAATGCCCAGCTTGACGTTTCTTGCCTACGATCCTATCTCTTGGCAGCGATCACATGACCCCGCTCTGTCTCTCATTCAATTCAATTTCCTCCCGCAACCAACTTCTTTAATTCCGCCAACCCTTCACTACACTTCCTCCTCTCCTCTAATGCTCAATCTTCCTCATCGGCAATTCTGTGCTCCTGGATAACCACATTGGACAAGCAAGCAGCGGCAGAGCAAGGGAAGCATGGAAGTCTATACTATTCAGGTTGAGGAAGGGAAGCCGACCGTGGGAAACAAGCCCTCCTGCGGTCCTGTTTATCGATGTATCTATGCGAAAGATGGTCTCCTCGAATCACCTGTTGGAATCGATTCCCCCTGGGATTTCTTTAGGTCTGCTTCGATGTACACCGTTGTGTCTTCGTTATGGTGTTCTTGATTTAGAATGTTTGCTTGAATCGTTTATACGTCCATCGATTTTCAAGTCTTACTATTTTCCAGTCTCTTTTGGAGTTCAATATAGCTATTAATCTACTATACTCGGTAAAAACGTACTAAAAGATCGAATTTTGACGCAAAAGATGATATTTTTTCCTGTTGTTGCATATTTTCTTGTATGGTTTGATTGTAACCTTGGGTTTTCTTGCAGCGAGTCGGTTAAGAGATACCCTAAGAACCAAATGCTTGGTCGTCGTCAAGTGATTGATGGAAAGGTATTGCATTGCAGAAGCAGCCTCACTGTGATGCCAAGAGCCATCTTCCAGCCAACATGCAAAAATATTTAGTTGTTTTTATTATGGTTTTGATCACTTGTTCCGGACTACTTTTACTGCTTATTTAATGTTATGACTGAGCAAAAAGTTTGAGCTTCTTGAGAGATAACTAAAGATTTTAATTTACAGGCAGGAAATTATGTATGGCAAACATATGAGGAGGCTTATGAAGTAGCTCTAAAGATTGGATCAGCCATAAGGCAGACTGGTGTCAATCTGGTGAGCTGATCTAGATGCTTATGCACTCTTGAAAGCATGGCCGTGTTATCCTTTTTACTCAAGTAATAGGCCCTACTACATCAGGCAAAGTAAAGGGTATTTTACAATGTCCTGCCTTTATTTTAGGGAGACTGCTCTGGGATATATGGATCTAACTGTCCTGAATGGTTGATTGCCATGGAGGTATTGTCTTTCTCATCTTGTACGCTCATATTGCTTATGTAGGAACCATTTTTTAATCACCACTTGTTGAGGACATAAATTGTTTGATTAAATATTCATGAGAAACTTTTGCTGTAGTACCATGCATAAGCTTGAGAAATTAATACACTAGATATTCATCTGAAGTTTCTGATCATGTATCAGAACAACCAATTAGAAACTTTTGCTGTAGTACCATGCATAAGCTTGAGAAATTAACACACTAGATATTCATCTGAAGTTTCTGATCATGTATCAGAACAACCAATTACGGTTTGACCCTCTGTATGAACTGCATCTCTGTTTCTGGATTGGAGAAATCATTTGATAATTTTTGCAGGCCTGCAATAGCCAAGGAATCTGTTACGTGCCACTATATGACAGCCTTGGTATGTTCCTTATGTTAGCCTTCCAAGTCACATCCATTTTGTACTCAGTAATATGAATTCAACATGTCTTGCAGACAAAGTTACATTGTGGCACATCATCAACTTTCCTGTATTGATAAATCCTGAAACTTAAACAATTTAGATTATTTCTCCCTTATCAGACCAAACAGAGAGCACTTTTAAGTTACTGTTGTTCTAAACAATGTAATATCTCATGTTCCTCAAAAGGGATACTCTAAACAGATGAATTGTATGTTCTTTGATTATTTTGTCTGCAATTTCAAGTGTCACTTTGCTTTGCCATTAAGTTTGTTATTCCTGGAAACATAGTTTAAATTATATAACATCATTTGCTCCTTAGCAGCTCTAATTGTTTGGTTTTTGTTTCCATGTAATGAAGGTCCAAATGCTGTAGAATTTATTATCAACCATGCAGAAGTCTCAATAGCATTTGTCCAGGAAAACAAGATGCATTCTGTAAGTTGAACATTTCATTGTCCTTTTAAGGTTACGTCAAGTTATTTTAGCCAACTAATTCCAAATGAATACATTCTTTGTAATTAAAATCACACACCTCTTTATTTAAACGCCAATGTTGCCTTCGGTTTTAAAAGTTTGATATGAATGGACATGGCCAAATTAACATAAAAAATTAGTAAATGTCCCACGTTATGGTTTGATGAATACTTGATGGGTTGTCATTTCACTGTTTTTTATCCTCTACTTAAATCCTTCTCAGACACCACATCACAGGTTTGACTCTTGTAATATTATACAATTTGCAAGATGACAAATGAATTGAACGTGCTAGTTGTTAACTACCATAAGCTTTTTACTCGATATGTGGATGTTTTCAGTGGAATTCCTTTGGTAACTCTTTTTTTAAGTTCAATCTGACCCTTGTAAACTCTTTATGCTTACAAAGAACATTCATATGTTAGAACTCTCATTGTTGTTCGAGACTCGAGAGGGAACCATCAGTGTGCAACTAATTTCTGAAGTTTTGAGATTCCTTCCTATGCATTTTTAAACTCATCTGATTTATTGGAGAATTACAAATTTGGGATCTGGTTCAAATGGCCTTCATCATGTGACACCACTACTTTTGATTGATAAAAAGTAACTATGGGTGACATTTTTCAGGTCCACCAGGTCACCTGTCTGGTATATTTGCTTCTTAATTTTCCATACGTTTGAAGGAAGCTTAAAATTAGTTGTCTATCCATACATTTTTCAGGTCCACCTAGGTAGTGAATGCATTCCTTCTGTAAACAAGCATTAGTTGATAGATTCCTCTACAATTCCTTTTTTTTTTTTTTTTCAGAAGATGACAATTTATATTCCTGTAACCTTGCAGAACTGAACAATATTTGTGTTGTTGACACTATTTTTTTAGTAATAACTCTCTTCTCTTTCAGATATTGATGTGTCTTCCAAGGTGTGCACATCTTAAGAGTATGTAGAAGTCTTATTCTATGTATTTATAAACTTCCAGCTCAGTTTTGTAATACTCACATGTTTGAAATTGATACTGACTCCAGCCATTGTTAGCTTCGGAATGGTAACTGGTGAACAGAAAAAGGAAGCTGAAAATGTTGGAGTATCTTGCTTTTCATGGAAGGAATTCGTTTTCATGGTAATTGTTACCTTTTTTTGATTTAATATTCCTGCTGAAGTTACAGTCTGTTTCTTATATTTCAGACCTTGTCAGTGCTTGTTGTTGTGCAAGGAGCAGTTTGCACTTTCTTCAAGCTGAAATTATGAGTTACTTTTCTGCCTAATCTTGATTACTCGAAACTATTTTACAGTAAAGCCTGTAGAAACTGTGGATCTGCTTCCCAACTTAAAAAAATGTTCTTCATATGCCCCTACTTCAAGAGGTTCCCAACTTCTATACTTTATAGGAAAATATTCTGATTTTTTATCTTGCTTGGTTATATTTTGTGTTTATCCTTAGAAAACTACTTACATTCTTTCCAACTATTAAAAGTTATAGGAGAAGATTTTAGTGATATGTTTGTGTTTCTCCTCAGAAAAGAAAAGCTACTTACAGGGTAATCCAAGCAGGGAAGCCAATTATACAAGACATATTGCAAATGTAGAAGCCTCATTTACACCATTTTGATGAAAACTAATATCTTGTTCTTATAGGCAACTGCAAACTGCAAACTTCCACCTAAGAGAAAGGATGACATTTGCACAATAATGTACACCAGTGGGACAACTGGTGAGCCAAAAGGTGTGATATTGACAAACAAAGCGATCATAGCTGAGGTCATCAATAATGAACATCTGCTTCTTGAGACTGATAAAGTGGTAAGACCTCGGTTATCATCTTTCTGTTCTCTTTTTTTGTGAATTACCTGCCACTAAGACATGGCTCTATGATTTGCATGTTTCATATTATTAATTGGTGGGACATTTTATATTCCTCTCTTAGTTTACAGAGGAAGATTCATACTTGTCGTTCCTTCCATTAGCACATGTCTTTGATCAGATAATGGAAATCTACTGCATCTATAAGGGTGCCTCCATTGGATTTTGGCAAGGGGTAGGGCCTGTGTTACAGTCTCTTCCTATGAAAGCTATACCTGCGTCCAATTCCTAATTAAATACCTCCTCATAATTGAAGGATGTTAGGTATTTGATGGAGGACATCCAGGAACTAAAGCCTACAATATTTTGTGGTGTTCCTCGAGTTTATGACCGTATATATACAGGTATGATCCTGTTCTGATTTCCTATTCGGTCAGTCTTTGAACATACATACAATTTCTTTGTTCCTAAAGAATTTTGTGGACCAAAGGCATCAATCAGAAGATCTCATCTGGAGGACTGTCAGCAAGGATGTCGTTCTCGTTAGCTTATGTCTAGTACGTATAGTGCTCATTCCTATCTATTGTTTAGGATCTAGTTGCTTTGCCTAAAGCACATTTGTAAGTTACATTGTGCCTTTTTGTCAGTAAGTTGCAGAACCTGAGGAGAGGGTTCAAACAAGATGAAGCATCGCCTTTCTTCGACCGTCTAATCTTCAACAAAGTTGGCATCTACTTCGATCTCCCCGTTTAATTATTTATTTTTCCAACCATGCCTCAATCATCCTTGCTCAATTGTGATTATAGATCAGACAAGTCACAGGAGGCCGTGTGCGCATAATGATATCTGGAGCTGCACCATTGCCCAGGCATGTGGAAGAGTTTCTTAGAGTAACCACATGCAGTGTCGTCATACAAGGATATGGTAATCCATCAACAACTTTAATGCTATGGATCAGCATACCATCTGTTGTGCTTTCTCTGCAAACGAATGATATGCTCATAAGCTTCAGAAATTTCCATGTTCAACAAGTAAAAGACCAACAAAAAGTGATGGTGATACGAACTCATGTCTCATATTCAGGTCTTACGGAAAGCTGTTCTGGGTGCTTCACTTCCATAGCAAATGTATTCTCCATGATGGGAACGGTTGGGGTTCCTGCTGCAACTATAGAGGCAAGACTTGAGTCAGTGTTGGAACTGGGGTATGATGCACTCTCAGATGTACCCCGAGGAGAGATTTGCTTGAGGGGGAACACATTGTTCTCTGGCTACCACAAGCGCGCAGACCTCTTAGATGAAGTCCTTGTGGATGGTTGGTTTCATACAGGTAAAGGTTCTACATGGCCATGTAGTTCGGAAACATGATCTTGACATTTTGCTTGTTTAAGAATTTGAATCGTGTAGGTGATATTGGAGAATGGCAACCCAATGGTGCAATGAAGATCATAGACAGAAAGAAGAACATCTTTAAATTGTCCCAAGGAGAATATGTTGCCGTAGAAGTCCTCGAAAACACATACATGCAGTGTCCTCTCGTCACCTCGGTATCGTACAGAAGCTCTTCCTTTCCATCTGTAGCTGAAATTAGATGGCAGTTGATCATTCTTGTGTGATGATATCTTTGTCCTGTAGGTTTGGGTCTACGGAAACAGCTTCGAGTCCTTTCTTGTGAGCGTCGTTGTTCCTGAGAAGAACTCATTAGAGGAATGGGCAGCAGCCAATAAGGTGAAAGGTAGCTTTGAACTGTTGTGCAAGCATCCTGAAGCAAGGAAGCACGTTCTCGAGGAGCTCAATTACACTGCTCGCAAACACCAAGTACGTCAACAGTCTATGAAATTTCCAACCAATTCATTCGACGAACATGCTAATCTGATTCGTTTGGCATCGCTTTGCTTCAGCTAAAGGGATTCGAGATGTTGAAAGCAGTTCATCTTGAGCCAAGTCCATTTGACATGGAGAGGGACCTCATCACTCCGACCTTCAAACTGAAGCGGCCGCAATTGCTCAAACATTTCAAGGTAAGAAGACACATTTATCAGTCCGAGTTGATGCTGATCTCCCTTTCCTACAAGTCCAGTTTTTCTCAATGAATTTGACTGATAATTTCAGGAATGCATTGATGGGCTTTACCGAGAAGCTAAAGTTCTCTAAATTGGACAAGTAGGCACTCGTATGCGACGCTCAACTTGAAATGCTTGCAAGTTCAATAATCAGTCATGGTAGGATCTCTCTTCCTACCTTGTTTAGATGCAATCACGAAGTGGAGGAATATAATTAAAAGAACAAAATAAGTATGTTTTTTGGGTATTCCTTTGTAATTGTTGCTTTGATACTCTTACAAGAAATTGCTTTATCATCAGCAAGTTTCTACGAATATGTTCTTTGTTTCCTCCTACAACAGAAATGAATGATGAACTACGAAGTCCATCTTTTTCTTGAATAAGAAGAGAGACTCGAAAAAGAATCAGGCTGGAAAATTTGCTCCAACAAATTGTTGCTGAAATCATGTTCTTCGGATCATTCCTTTGCCGGCATCGGAGACATGGCAGCTTATATCCTGTTCAGTTTTGCTGTGCTGCATCGAGAGCTTGGAGAGGAGGAAAACGCAAGCTGAGGACACAAACACCGCTGCGGCAAAACAAGCCAAGTCCATCCCACTCGCCAGTCGAACGTTCTTGAACTTGTCCACCACTCCTGTTTGAAGAATCAGGAGAACTGCATGCCCGAGTCTGGATTTCGCATGCGACATCGACTGCATCTCCATGCTATCAGCAAGCTTCTGAAATGGTTTTTCCGCAGTGAATGTTGGTTAGGGTTCTGAGTACATGCACAAGAGCAAGAACGACTTCTGGTTCTACTAAACCTGACCTTGAGATTGAATGATCCAAAGCAGGATTTAGCTGTTTGCCACCCTCTTTTCTGCTTCATCTCTTCCGAGCTTGCAAACATGACGTACAAGCTTATTCCGAAAGTAAGCAGAGCAGTCCCCACGAGGAACATATCTGTGCATAGAATTCATGTTATGCTGGGATGAACGTCCCAAATGACCGGCGGCAGGTTATCGGGGACACGGCAAGGAGGAAGAAACTGTTACCTATGGCTTCCACAAGTGACCGTATGATTCCACCTTGATCCATGCCTGGCTGGAAATATTGGCAATATGATTCCAGAACAAAGAAGCAACCCTGCAAGCCACCATAGCAACAGCAACATTCTATATCAGAAACCTCATAGATTCTCTGTCACTCGTGATTCGGAACACACAGGCTTAAATAATCACCTCGACGAAGCACAAGATTGAGCCTATGAGAGATCCTGCAACCGCGATCAGTGTGAAGGATCGGCAACCGGTGACACCCTGCGGTAAGCAAGCATGAGTTTGGTGGCGGAGGAATGGAAGAGGATGCGTGAGGTGTACCTTTTCGATTAGGATCTCCGCAACAGTTCTCCAGTTCTTCACCCAGACTGCCCGTTTCGATGGGTCCAGGAGTCGGCGGGCCGCGTCGGCCAGTTCGGTTATCAGGGTGGAGAGATGTGCGATCTCCATTCCTTCTGCAGACGAAGGCTTCTGCTTTGTGTCGGGCAAGACGACGGTGGCGTCGGACGCCGCCGCCACCTTCTTCCTCCCTTGGCAGCCTGCCAAGCGCTCCTTCTCTCCTCCCCTCCATGCAAATCTCGGAGGCAGAAGACGAGAGCAAGAGCTGGAAGAAGGAAGACGATCCGACCGAAGAGCTCTAGTGGTTCTCAGCAATCTGCTTGCTCCAGACATCCTTCTCTCTTCTCTCTCTCGACCTTCCCTACCTCGATTCTTCTCGGTACGAAGGCTTACAACTCTCCACACTAATCTCTCTCTCTCTCTCTCTATATATATATATATATATATAGACATACACACACGAAGAGATTTCTTTCAGAGGAAGATTCATGGAATATTGGAATCGGCATTGCGACAAGGAAGGCAATTCAAACTCGGTATATGCCGTTCGTACCGCTCGTGGGACCGAGAGCGCTCGGAGCCGGGCGTTTGGTTCAGAGGATCTTTTCCTGCGACGTCCGCGCCCGCGACTTCGAGGCTTCGCGTAGGGCAACAGGGGCCGCTCGTTCGGTCTCGCTACCTTGGGTCGCAAACCTGCGGGCTCTGCGTGAGGAAGCGGTGGCGTAAGCCTCGGCACTCCACGGACGGTGTGGAAACCGTGGCAGCGGCTTCGGGTGGCTCTCTCCTGCGCCACAAGAACGTGCATGTGTGCTGGCTCGAGCAGTAAACGCAGGCCGTTGCCGCACATGAAACATCACTACCTTGTTTGTGTCGTGACTCGGGGGGTGCGATTCCAGGAGATCGGAGTTGCCGGCCTCGTTCATCGCATCCGGAGAAGAATCAACGCGTGCTTTGAAAAATGGGTCCGGGAAGGCTGCTCCAGAATTGTCACGCTTTCGTATGCTATACGTGTTTTCACGCGGATGGAATCCATTCAATTTGACTTCTACGGCGGTAATACGGAGGTGTCACATTATTGAAAAATCTTGATAATTAATCAAAAAAAATCTTGAACTTAAATTTAATCTCTGTCACTTATCTTTACAAATAATAATAATAATAATAATAATATCTTTGTTATGAAAATATATGTATATAAATGAGTCCGCGACGACACCAAAATCGTTCTTCGAACGATCAAGCGATCAGCATGATTCTTAAGGCAGGAAGAGCATGCTTTAAGATTCGTGCAATGACAATAATAGAAAAAAGAGAGAACATCTCAAACTGGAAATTCTACTGGTATTATACTGCATTAACATGGCAGTAAATACATAACACAGAACTGGACCTCATGTTACTCATGGGAGGCTGCAATGCACTTGTCCTGATGATTATTGCATGAGTTATATGTACATCTCAAAAGTAATAGACACTGTTTAAGGATTCACCTTCTCATAGGATGTAATTATGCTTTTCTCATAGTTTTGATACAGATTTGACATCATAAATAACCATTTGCTGGGAGGCCCCTATGCAACACAGCTTCTGTTTTCTGCATCAAAACATAATCAGCTTCAATATTAGACTCTTGTTTTCTTCTTATTTCGCATTGTTGAACATGCATTAGGTCTTTGATGCAGCCTTACAATCACAGATATGAGAGAAAAGAAAGGGGCATCACCACCATCAAAATATGAGGAATACAGTTGGGCTGCCATTTAACCATCTCTCACACAATCATACCTTGCTTTTACAGCCACAGGTTCAGCTTCAGTTTTTGTATTTCATCGTTTCCTTCTCAAATCCAATTGTTGGGAACTGCTTTGCAAACTCCTCCACCTCATGACGGAGCTTTGCGATCTCAGATTGAATATTAGCATCAGTTTGAATGGTGGCTAGGAAGTCCTTCAGCTTTGATCCACCTAAATTTCATTTTAGAAAAGAAAGGAAAAAAGTAATCAATAGAGAGCTTATTTGATTTGTGGGTATATCAGTTCTGAAACAAAGCATAAACCCGAGATACAGAAGAAAACAAGATGAACATATATGAACCTTTGGTTTCAGCCTTGGTCTTCAATGACAATTTAACAGCAGTGTCAAAAAAGTCAGCAACTTTAGCGAAATCTTCTTCAACAAATCCTCTTGATGTAAGGGCTGGGGTTCCTGAATTAGCAGAAAAGGGCATGTAAGGAAAACAATCTACCAAGTGTCACTGTAGTTTAATTGATATCGTAATAAGCAGGTACCCATCCTGATGCCTCCAGGAACCATGGCAGACACATCACCAGGTACAGTATTCTTGTTAGCTGCAATGTGAACTAATTCCAGCACCTTTTCAACTCTAGACCCGTCAATTCCCTGTACATGGATTCAGAAACTTAAGATGACAATCCGTTCATGTAAAATAGTTGATACTAGCCAACATCTACGGTGGAAAATTATCTAAAACTGTTGGAAGCTATTATGTCCCTCGTTTTGAACAGAATTGGTGACCAAGCCTGAACAAGACTAAATAAGCCATGATTCAAGGATTAGTCCATCTATATTGTTTGCTATTAAAAATTTATACAAAGATATAAAAGTCTTCTGGCCCTTGCTAACATACTTGATGGTAATTTCTATAAATGTTGAAAATGTTGCACTAAATAGACATATTCATGTCCATCTTACCTTGTTCTTGAGATTTACCAAGACTAAATGGTTCTCTGTTCCGCCTGAAACAAGCTCATAGCCTTTCTCAATCAAGCACTGCAAAACATGTCGCCATTTAGCAGTAGTTGATTTAAACCGACATAGAAGATAAGCTTGACTGGTAGGTAAGGTTAAAGCGAATTAAGTTTAATTGTGAACTGGTAAATGAATTGACAGATTAAGCAACAACAAAAATATTACTAGTCAAGCTCAAAAGAGAAGGTTAATCAGTTGATACAGATGGATCCCTGGGAATGAAATAAAGCATCACGAAAACCATACCTGAGCAAATCTTGCACAATTACTGAGCACTTGCTCTTGATAGGCCTTGTACTCTGGGGTGGTGGCCTGCAGTTGCATGATTGAAATAAGTCTATGACAATGAAATGCCATAATAAATTGTAAAAGGCTGACCAACCAACAACATATAGAACAGCAGAATACAATAACTCATGTTGTTTTAAGTATTCTGTTGTGGAAATCCTGAATGCTTGCTCCCCAATAAAGGAGCTTAATTTGCATAGTTGCCAGCTCCCAACTGGTCTTCTATGTATGATAAGAAGCCCAAACTTTTCATAAGTGACCTTGACCAAAATTTGACATATAGACCTAGTGTGACCATGCACATGGATCAATATAACTAGTTGTACATATGACACCTTGTGAAGGGAAAAATGTCAAAACATATACTTCTTGTAGCAACTAGTTTGCTGATTGCTAAACCTATGAACAGATCACATGATTTTCCTAACTAAATTAATGTTTCTGATTCCACTTTACTCTTTTAGGGCATGTTTTAGGTGAAGAGAAGTGGAAAGAAGAGAAGAAAATTGGAGAGAACCCAACTGAATCCATGTGCCTTTGTCAAAAGAGTCAATCAAATTCACCCCTAAGAGCCTTTTTGTGTGTCTCTGAAATTGGAGAGATTTGGCGAGAGGAAGAAAGCGAGGATTCAAATATGATTTTTCCTTGGTTGCCCTTAATTCAACTGAAAGATTTTGAAAAGATTCTGAAACAAGCATAGACAAAATTGCAAGATAATTAGTAAAACATCCCTTCCATTCTCTTGGTTTACCAAACTAAATAAGTACATTTCCTCTCTTTTCTCAACTCTAATTCCAAGCAGAGTAGGAGAAAGTAGGATTCTGTTCTCTTCTCTCCTAAGTCTTCTTTCCTCTTCCCTCCATAAGTTATTATCCGACAGAGCCTTAAGTCCCCAAAAGGCTTCCCTGAATTTTCACAAATCAGATTAAAAGAAGGGAGAGAGAATGGTTTTGGAGAATGCGTACCTGTTTGAGTGCAACAGCCAAGCCAGCAATGGTATGGTTGTGTGGACCACCTTGAAGTCCAGGGAAGACTGCTGCATTGATTTTCTCTTCAAAGTCATACATAACCTAACAAATTGATAAATACAACACTAGTTATTTTAATCCTATATTAAAAGTAGACCCTTTTTAAATTTGTTACCTATAACAATCAATAGTTGTGAAGGAACAACTTTCCACAACTCACCTCTTTCCCTTGTTTGTTGATCTCCTTCACTCCTTTCCTGAAAAATATCATGGCTCCACGTGGCCCACGGAGTGACTTGTGAGTTGTTGTTGTGACAACATCCGCATAATCAAATGGAGATGGAATAACACCACCGGCGACAAGTCCACTTATGTGTGCCATGTCTGCCAGAAGGATAGCTTTCTGCTTGTCACATACCTGTTAATGCCCGAAAAGTGAGAAACCTAAAGCAATATTCCATACAGAAGCTAAAACTCATGATGAAGATATCAAATTTTGTTGGTTAAAGAGACTGGATAAGAGTCTACCTTCCTAATCCGTGCATAGTCATAAAGACGAGCATATGCACTTGCTCCAGCGACTATTAATTTTGGCCTGAATAATGTAGCACTTTTCTCTAGCTGCAGAGAAATATCTGATTAACTCAAGTATGGATGATTTTTTCTTGCAGCATATAACAAAAAAGAAACCAAGACTTAGATTTACATGAACAAGTTAACTTTAGGATCAAAGTCCTTTTCCTAATGTTAATCCAATTCACAAAGTAAAATTTTGGATCTTGGAAATGTCACAATATATCTGCAAATGATGTCGTTTTTTAAGCTCTTGACTTACATAATGTTGTATATCAAATGCACTAAAATCTGATCAATTTGCAGTGATATAAGCATGTTGCAAAGCAAAATGGGAGACCAGAAAGTAGAAAATTCACATAATTAGATATAGTAGCCACCTGGTCGTAATCAATGTATCCAGTACTCTCATTCAACCTATAAGGCATTGTCTCAAAGAATATGGATACTGCAGAGATTTTCTTGGTATCAGTCTGCAAAAATCATACAGATAATAGAACCATTAGTTTTGAGTTTAAACAATAAAATCATAGTAAATAAAACGCTAGCACACACAACTTCAACGAAAAGAAAAAACATAGTATATAGAGTCAAAAACTTCAATTTTAGAAGCCAACAAGCAGCACTGAACCTATGGTTGAAAAGAAACTAACAAGAAAGACTTTAAACAAAACCCAACAATTAAAAATATTAAACTGATGTAATGGTGCACCTAGATATTGTGTCCAGTTGCATATTAGATCGACCGTAAGCTCTGATCTCTATGCCATCAACTAATAGGTGTCATGGTTATTAAGTACAAAACAAGAC